GCTTCAGACTGTCAGTAACCACTCGATAGCATAAGTTTCAATGATTCCAACGCTGTGCTTATTTTCCGGAAAAACGATTTCTGTGCAGAGTAGCAGGTCAAATGAGATTGAATTTGCATGCACGAGCAGGTGGTCTTTGGCCAGTTCACGGGTCGCTGGATGAGGCGAAAATGGAGCTTTTTGCAATCGTCCGTCGTTCATGACTTTGCTACAAAAATACTTTAAATGCTTTTATCTTGCCCATGAAATTGGATAAATCAGTCATAATTTTGATCGCTTTGTGGAATTCAGGAGGCCAGAATGTCTCAATTGCCTTCACCAGTGACACGGAGAAATTCAGATACTGCGAGATTTCTCCACATGTTCATATGCTCGAGCCTCACTCAGCGGCCCGTGATTTGGCCAAAGACCACCTGCTCGTGCACTTGATGTAATCCTATTTCCCCTGCTGCGTTCTAGAGAAACGGTCTTTCCCGGATATAAGCACACCGTTGGAATCGGTAAATTTAACGCTATCGAACGACTAGTAATGGCCAGAAAAACGAGTATATCTGGCGTGAAATATGCACGTGTTAGTCATAATCTTATTTTCAATTTCTCAGCGTTATAAAAGGATCTTTTGAAGACACCGCCCACCACGTGGACGGATTGTTTTTGACTCAAACTTTCGGATGTTTACTAACACTTTTTATGAAAACTTCTTGTCGCGCTGAGGAGATAGGCTTGAAAATTTGTGTTACCAAACGAAAAAGAGCCCATCCTTCTGAAAAAGAATGACCTTATGTATGAAAATTTTATGATCCACTTGAAACTTCTTTATAAATGTTTCATGTTATGTCGGATCTAAATGCACCGTTGTCGAAAATTCCTAGTCTACTAGCCTTTTTTTGGAAGTTCTGAGAAAAACACACTCCAGTTTGAATAATGTCATTTAACAAGAAAAGTCTGGTTTAGATCCGTCTATCATATCCTATCTATTATTAATTTCGTACGCGCCAGGTGCTTAGATAAATATCCTTGTTGCTAGAATTCGTCTGCTGGAAGCAATCTGAAGTGAACTGTTGAAAACTTACCTCAGCCTTGACTTTTTGATCCGATTTCCCTCGCCAGTCTTGATATTTAGCTTGTTAATATCAACGACTATAATTAATAGGACTTTGATTTCGATAATGAAGAATATCACAGCTTTCTGTCATAAAAGCGAGCTCTACTGCGCACAGATTTAAAGTCTGTTGTTAACTAGCTCTAATTTTTGCGATAGACGAGTAGCAAACTTTGATTGCGATGCTGTAGTAGTGTAATTCAAACTTTCTAATCCCAAAAGCGAACTATACTCAGCACAGTTTGTTGGTCTAGTGCTATCTAGCTCATTTTTTTCTAGAATAGAAGAGCGATAGTTTGGGAGGGAGTGTATCCATTTCAATGCACTCTTACATGCTCACATTTTCCACCGCTAACAGCTTTTTAAATGGACTATTTGTATTCACTCGACAACTTAAGAGATCTTTTTTTTTATATCGGTCTTCGCTTCTATAAAGGCTTTCCCAGCGTACATCACCCAGGAAAAGAAAACTGCGATTCGTTTTTGGAGTACTTAGCCCGTTGTTTGAACTTCACAGTTGTTTATTGGTATTTATGCAATAAAGTTTAGCTTTTAAAGGCACTTTATCCCTTCACAAAAAGATGATGTATCAATGATTCCAAAAGTTCGAATTTTTGAGTGATAAACCTACATTCTCGTAGAGAACATAGTTCTAACTGCGTGTATTCATCGCCGTTGTTGTGGTAGTATAAATTGCAAATCGGCACAGTTTGGAGGTCTAATGATAGCTCATTCTACAATGTAGGACGTTTAGAAAAATCTTAGGTGGAGGTGGTTTCAGTATGTAGCTGGAGTAAGCCTAGAATGAGCGAGTACATTATTGTGTAACGTTTTAATTTATAGTATGCGTTTTCCTATCCATATTCTGTGAACAATTTACTAATGTTTTGAACCTTTCATTCAAATTACTTATCCAACATTCAGCGATTTATGCAAATCATCGGTCAAAATTATCGGTCAACAACAATTTGTCATTTACCAACTGCAGCGGTCAACAGCATATCCGTTTTCTGCAGAATCTGCACCTCTTAAAATCAGCAGTTGGTATGGAGGGATTCCTAAATTTGGCAATGTCCGCATATTTGCCAAATTGGCAGCAGTCCACTATTTTCGTCGGATCTTTTAGCCTTCACAACAATTGCGGCTTTGACGTCTCATGTCATAGCATCGCTTCGCTTCTTTTTGTACGAGATGTTGCTCTCCGTCCCTTTAATTCATTTGAGGAAGGCCTTCAAATCAGTTGAACACGAAAAGTCATAGAAGCTTAGGCAGCCAGACGCCCTACTTAGTTCGCAAAGGTTTTTCTTGAACTATATATAGATTTCACAACCTAGATATCACAGGCGGTTGAAAGAAGAGGTAAATATCACCATTCAATAATGATGTTGCTATTGATGTAAAAGCAGAAGTTTGACAAGGCAGTACCATCTGACAAAATTATACACTGCCACCCTTCAAAACGTCATTCGAACATTGACATGGGACAACATTTGAGTGAGAATTGACAGTCGGCAATTATATCTGTTGGCAAGTTTGGACTTGGTGGATATTTGGTTCACCAGATACAGTAAGTCGACTCTGACACTCACGAGTTTATGGTAGAACACGAGTAAAGTTAATTGGTTCTATTTGATTATGCCGCAGTATAGACAAATTGGATATTGGGAGAAACGATGTTAAGTCTGGTAAAGCAGCTTTAACACTAACAGTACTTGGGAGTTGGGCTTCTATGCAGACTAAAATTGGAGTCTTTGATACTTTCTTTCATTCCATGAGACGCTGTTGGCTACAGTAGCACTGTAGATTGGTAATAGTCTTTGACCGATAAGGAGTGAAACACAGATGAACACTTGTTTGTAGTTGGAGCGAAGGAAAAAACCGCCAGCTGCCAGTCCGATTAGCTGCACAGATGTCACCAACTTTCTACAGTCTGTAGAATTTCAGAAATCATTATCGCTTTGGTGATGACATTGTTTTCATAACACCTAACATCAGCGAGGCGAAATAAATGGCCGATCTCGACAACGCCTGTGGATACTTTGGTCTGCGATTGGATCACCCAGAAACAATATCCATATGAACAAATTGATTTTGAATGTCCCATTTACGCTTAGCGAATGATTTCGGCGAATGCTCCATTAGCATTTATTTGGATTGTTAACATAAGGTATATGCTAAGAATTCCCATACGTCGCAATTGGGATAAGGGATCCGAAGTTTTGGACTGCATTAACGGTCGAAAGATGAAACACAGGTCTACACGCTAGGCTATCGAAGATAAGGCGAACAGGACACATAATGCGCTTCAGCGACAACCGATGTGCGAGAGCCATTGCCGACTGGATTTTTCGAGATGTCAAATGTTTACTAGGAAGACCTCCGACGTGATGGTTGAATATCCTCACCACAAGCTCAGAAGAAAGATACGATGCTCTACGAATCCTTATCACAAAGATTATAGTCTGAGGTACTTTTTCACGTGATACGAAAAGTAGAAGTTTTCTGGTAACCGCTCGAGTTACTCGACCATAAACGGAACTACAGATGGTGCAGGTGACGTATCTCGCTCATAGTTCAACCGACGTTTATCTTCTCGTGACACGTTTCTTGTCTAAACAAAAACTTTCTAGTTGAAAGACAGCCAATCTCATTGATTCATTTTAGTTATATAAAAGCTTCAATTATTTTGCTCAATTTTCTTCAGAGAAGCCTTCAGCGCACTTTATCACTCAAGAATATGCCGCACAAGAAAATGACATTGGGAAAGCAGTAAAACATGATTGAGACGTTGAAACATTAAAGGAACAATGTATATAGTCAAGTTATGGTGCTATGGTTCTTTGTGTTGCATAACAGCATTACTGTCACCTCACTGTCGTGTATATGAGAATTTCGAGTTTATAAGACATTTTTTAGCGTGCCAATGCAACGGTCATTCTATGTGTAACGGATCTCGGCATACTCTTGGTGGCATACAGGAAGTTTGTGGTGAATGTCAACATAATACTATGGGTAGACATTGTGAGATTTGCGCTCCAGGTTACTTTGGTGATCCTCGAAACGGTGACCATTGTTCAGGTTTGGGACCACCTTGATTTGTTGTATATCCTAGTTTTGATTTGAAAAAGTTATTTGTAGCTTGTCAATGCAATGGACAGTCGGACACTTGTGACAATATTACGGGTGTTTGCCATTGCAGAACTAAAGGTGTTATTGGAACTAATTGCGATCGTTGTGATCAAAATACTACGGGCAGCCAAAGAATGGCACTCCATGTTACTGTAGGTAATTTTCCTTCTTATTCTAGTTCATTTGAATCATATTATATAGTATTTTCTAGATGAACTTAGTGTCGATTTTATTTTCACCTTTAAACTAAAAAATGAGGAAAAAGACAAGCATGCGACGGAAATTTACTTGTTCAGCATACCACATAAGGTGAGCTTTTGTTAAATAAATTTATGTTCTTGTTAGTTGCTGTCAAATTACCCTTGTGCTGTTGCAGTCGCTTTGAAGTTGGCATATTACCTAAAAGCGCACATGATCAATTGAACATAAAAAGATCACGTCCGGTGCGCTTAGAAATGGTTTGCGTGCTCAATATAGTAATGTACAGACAACTGGACAATCACAACTTTGAGTATGTAGGCAATTCCCTTGTACAGTATTTGGTCCCATTTGACGTCGAAGTTTTCGATTTGGTCTTAATATTAGGTTAAGGGGAAAAGGTTTCTAACATCAGCTGAAATTTCAAAGTTTTTCGATCAGAAAGGGCAATATTCACTCTTAAAAATAAAGACCATCATCTGGAATTCATTTATTTGGCCGCTTCTTGCGGTGGTATGATCTTATGATCTTGTAATATACCCAATAATGTAGAATACTGTGCAAAAACATTTCCGTCAGCCGGGATTTGAACCCAGATCTCACTCACCTGGAGCGTATGCTAACAGTTGCACCACTGACGCAAATGTTTTTGCACAACACTTCACCTTATTGGGTATATTATAAGACCACCATTATTCACGATCTTCTGCGAACGATTTGCAAGCTTCTGGACTTGCTCGATATTGCCATTACTTGGGCTTTGAATCAAAACTCCTGACATGCAAAATGGCCCATTGAGCGGAAAGTACCATAATCAGCCGACGCACCATCTGGACTGTAGGGGGTGCGGCAGGATTTCGACTTCATCCACTTTATCAAACTTTTCCTTAATCTTTTTTGGGGTGTGAAGTTTGACACTGTCTTGCTGGAACATCGCGCGCTTTCGACGAATAAATGTCGAGTATATTTCCTTCAGCGCATCATTCCATAAGAGTTTCTTATGGAAATATTTCTGAGATATTCCAATGAGTTTACAATAACAGATGCTGTACATAAATCTGAATTCTTCGCGGATATTTAGGAACTTTTTCCTCAACCTAGAATTATTTTTCATTCGTACCGTACCTCATGTGCACTGGAGTCCTTTATTGGATTCCGCTCGAACGAAACATATGGCTCTCACGTCATTTGCGTCGAGCCTCTTATCTTTATAGCTTTTTATCAAAATAATGACAATTAATAGAACGTGAATCTTTGTCGCATTCACACTATACACTTGAGAATAAATCGTGGGCTGATTCGGAGTGTATTTGAGATCAATCGTTTGGGGTAGTCTCAGACCGACTCTCACATCTGTTCCGACTACTTTACATACTTTTGGTCCACACGATATGCAGGACACATCTGGAAAAATGCAAGCACTCCCATGCACATTTGTCTGAGAAATAGGTTCCATGCACGTGGAAAATACAAATCACCGTTGCGAAGCAGGAGTAATGAATGTTTCTAGGATAGTTCGCTCTTCAAGGCAAGTATTAATGCTCGCTTTTGATTCTCGTTTTAACTCTAGTGTCCCACCTACAGAGGTTCCGACTATTCTTACTACGAACCGCCTAGAGGTTTCGAAATGTGAAGGATCCGTCGAAGGCATACGTCGAGATTATCATGAGCGTAGATCATTGTACTAAAGCTACCACAAAAATATATCATTGGTTTTGTGGTTATCAAATTTTTTTATCAATCGTGATCAGTCGTGCATTCAGCGTAGTAGGGTTAAAATGCAAATCAAGTAGATACAAAAATTAAGATATGTAACAGCGAAGCGAGGACATGCAGATTACTTGATATCAAAATAACAAGACGAGATGGTTTTTTGAAGTATTTAAGCAATCGTGAACTGTTTCAACTATACAGACTTCATCGCCATTCTCAAGTGCGTATATTTATCATGTTAGAAATCTGTTCAACATGCAAAGCCTTGAGTGTACGTATTTTAACATCGATTAGTATCCTGTAAATTAATCTTATATTTTTTGAATAATTTATATGAATACACTATAAGGGATTGAGTTTTCCAAAGGTGTTCTCTGTAGCATCCTTTTGATACACTATTCGTCTTGTTTTTGAGCACTCAATCTTCCCACAATTTTATATTATCTTGATGGTTTAGTTTGTGTGAAATAATATGTTTGAACTTTTTAGAAGGACACAGATGTTACATTTCAAATCAGCTGTGATGGAGGATCACAGGCTAACGTGGCACTTAATATCACTTCTTCGTTATTTGAATCAACCCCAAGGCGAATGATGGTGTGTTTTCTTGCGGTTTGAGTTTGTTAATTTGAGGAATGCTCACTATGTGTCTCTGCTTGATTTGATGTTTCAAACAAAGGAGTTTTAGCTTAATACAACCTGTGATTCCAAAGGATTTCGAAGAGTTTATGTAGCGTCGGATCCTGATTACGCATATGGAACTGATGCCAACACTACATTCTTTGTAGGTTTACGATTTTCCTCGATTACCGCCTTCATGGATGAACAACACTTAGAATCATATGTCTTATGATCAATATATAATCTGATAACATATCATAAGCCTTTCATGAGGCTCGTTATAGCACTCATATAGTGCTAGCCGTAGGTTTCGGCCTTTTAGCCTCATCACTAGCACGGTGCCTTTTGTTCAACCTATCCTGGTAGGGGTAGTATACCCCTTACATATAAAGGAGTTGAATGTGAAACAATACACACTCAAAGTGATAAGATCACTCCCCGACCTGCAATGTTTTATAGTCGATTCACTCGTGGATGATAAAGCGTACATTGTAATATCTCTTTTGACTTCTCTAAAAGCGATTGACTGAAACGAAAGGCACCGTGCTAGTGATGAGGCTGAATGGCCGAAACGTAACTCAGCACTATATAAATGCTGTAACAGATCTTGCGAAAGTTTAAAATATGCTATCAGATTACATATTTTTTCAAGCAAGGTCTCAAAAAATCTATGGAAAGAAAGGTGTCTCATGATTAGTGAGGATGTCAATTACAAAATTTTTTTTTTTTTTTTTTTTTGTTAATCGAGGAAAGTGAACATCGCAGTTTTCGTTAGAGCGTATGATTATGATGTGATTTTTTTACGTTTGCTCTATTTTCGACAATTAAGTTGTTATTCGAGTTTTAGGTACGAGTATTTAACTTTACAACTCCAATTACAATTCAAGTATCATTTGCTCAATCTCCCCCAATCAACTGGGTTTTATTCTTCGTAATATTTGCAGCGTAAGTTCCAAACCTCTAGTATCTTTCATTTTTCTCGTACTTGTGTTATTATTGCCACTTATTTCAGTTGCTTCATAGTCCTTCTTGTTGTAGCTGGTTTATTATGGATGATCAAGCTTCGTATTGAGGTGTATCGACGGAACCAGAGGAGAATAGACGAGATTGAGCATGTGAGGTTTTTTTTTAGCAATTTCCATCTATTGTAAATGAGACTACTTTCGTCTTGTAAATCAGAAGTAGCAGAAAACGGCATAGGTGAATTCCTTTTTTCATAAATGAACGACTTTGAATAATAGTATTTATACTAAATTTTAACACAACTGTAATTTAGCAACGATTGTATCTGTTTTGAGAAATCTACCAGATTTTTGTTCTGGGAAGCAGTGGTGGTAATCAGTTTTTATTCCGAGAAATCTTTGATTTTTCCACGTTAAATCTTAGTGTTTATTGTTTTAGTATTACAACTGTTTTCATCGCAACCCCTAACACCTTGATATGAGTTTTTCAAACCACACTATGAAATTCAGTATGCTTGATATGTTTGAATCCTTGACGCTTCGTAGCTAATATACTATCTACAACGACTTACGTAAATAAAGTGAGCACAGTGTTCTCTCGGATCGTAAAATTGCACAAGTTTACGATACTACTTTATACGAAATCTGTCGATCTATTTGCCTCGCTTTTTGAATGAATAAGTGAGGTAGGATAATCTGCCAGGTAATAGTAAATTCATTCTTCAACTTCGTAAAGCAATGCTGAAGAAGACGCGCATCTCTTATACACTTCCCTACGAGGTTTTGAATGTATGACTCAAGCTACGGTGTCTTGTGTTCTGCATAACATGTGCGAGAATAAAGTATGATAATGGCTTACACCGGCCTTGTGTCTCTTTCCATTCTCTAAGTGGTAATTGTAAATCTAGAATGAAATTATCGAAGATTCTTCCTCATAAGAAACTCAATGGTTTAGTACGAGAGTTGTTTGACAGAAAAGGTTACTGTAGATTAATGCTAGACTCGTTTGAGGGAAGCATCGTCTCATTCATAAAGGCCGCCAATATTTAAAGCTGTAAACTATAAGGGCAGGGTATTTAATCGTCATCAGTTAATTAGGGCCGTGCATTTGATTTCATCGAGCATCGTAAATGTGCACGCATATTATATGCGATGATTTTCCATAACATACGTATTAATTAAATCACTAGTTCACCTTCCTAAATGACTGTGATAACAATTATTTAACTCGGAGTAGATGGGAATTTAGTCCAATACATCGGATGTCACCACCACTCAGAACCTTCGTACTAATTTATATTTCTGACCACTGCGGTTTACACACTATTTTCGTAATAATTACAGTTATTATGCCATCTTGTTTCTTCCCGATAGCCTGTTCTCAACTGAAATTTGAATAATTAAGTAATCGGTGTTGATCAATCCCTGAACGATGGCATACATTTGATTTCATTGAGCATTTCACATCGTACCGTTCCGTTAAAATTGAGTAGAGCAGAAAATATAGATAAAAAGTGTGATCAAGCATCGTTAGGATGACTGAATACACATCTGGCTTTTACAATGACCTACGATAGCCCGTCTATCTTTCAACTCTATGCTGCTGTCTCCCAGATAGTCTTAGTAACAAATCACTGATCTTGAAAAGATGGAAGGCTTGCTAAACACGGTATATGAGATCGAAGTAACACCACGTGTGTGTTGTACTATTTCGCCACGCAATTGAAATTAACCTTTCATTTTTTCGAAGAGTTGTGCTAACTTCTTGAAACAGTCTTTACAAAGCGCTGGTTTATGCGTTGTGTCATTTATCTTACTAACGTCTCACAAGCAAACTTCAATCCCCGCGTGGGAGTGTTTACGGTGTAAACCTTCATTATTATCTTTATTATTTTCAACATGCTGTGAACGAAAAATCCAGTCCAAAATATTATTGAGTATTTTTACAGATGGCTTCTCGGCCTTTTTCATCAATCAAGCTAGAACTTACGGATCCGCAATGTTTGTCGGTATGTTAGTCGTCACTTGTAATGGAGATTTTTATTAGATCTCATAAGTTTTGACACTAGAGCAATGAACACCCAATTCATTAATCAGAAGTAATTTGAATTGCTTAACAACACTATTCAATTGTGCATTTTTTGCTTACATTCTGGTATACGTTTTGCCTATAGTTGTTTTGAGATAAAGCTGTCCTGGGGGACAAAAATTTGCTTGGTACTCATGTACCAGTAACGTGTGAGGGAAAATGCTAGTGAAGCGGCTTGCAAGATTAGCTTGGTGCTTGGGGCGATCATACGGTTGCAGAATTTACGGCTAGAAAGTGGTTTTCGAAGTTTATAGCT